TGCCATTCTCACACGATAATTAAGATAATTAGGAAATATTTGAGGCCCTTCCTCAGCTGATCTAAAGTGAAGGCATGGATATGAATCTATCAATCATCATGTGACTTTAAACATAAAGGGGCGAGACCTAGCTCTCACATACTTCACACTCAATAGTTTATGAAAAGCTGCCGCTGCAAAGCTCATTCGCTCTCTTGTCAACTGCGACCAATGCGGCGAAGGAGGTAGCCAAGAATGGATTACAGCGAGTGTTCCAAGATCTTTACAATCGTTGGGTGAAGTGTATCGCAAGTCAAGGAAAACATGTTTAAGGGTTTCAAACGGAAACCCTATCTCCTATATATAGTTCACGCATTTAAAAGTCGTTCCTCTATCTTCTTCACAGGTTCACTGATACGTATACTACAGGCTGCTGGAAATGTCACTGTGCAGTAGAATTATTCATTTAGTTGCATGTATTTAGTATTATACTGGATATCGCATGTATTGTATCATGAAGTTCATGCATTTCCCCTCAATGAGTCATCAAATATTAGCGTCATCCCCGATTTACATAATATATTGTCTGTTTTTCCAGGCTACAATGAGGCCTCCTACATCGTATGAATTCTACGGCACAGTGACTTTTCGAAGACCCTGTATCTCTGTATGTGTAAACATTCCCTCCCCTAATATGGATAGATGTCATTCCCTTGGATTTATTTTTGCACTCGCCTTGATGCACGTTTTCTCTTGAACTTAAATCTTGTGAATCCCTTTGGTGTGCTATTGTGTCAGGGTGAGAAACATTTTGAATTATTTAAAATCCTTGGCCCCTTTGGAATCCACAAGTGGAAATAAATGCAGGGTGATTCGAAAGTCACTTGCATTTTTTGGTTTCGTATTGGAATCAATCTACTGTTATCATATCAATCGATTAATCAGCTTCTCTTGAGCAAATTGGTGCAATATGAGTGTGAGCAAAACATACTTCGAAAGAAACGGCAGAAAAGAGGCATGATGATCATAAGCTTTCTTACCTATTAAAAAATTCACAGAACATTAATAAGTGAGCAAAATATGATTGTTATGATAACGCATGCTCGAAGTGACCGCTATCTGCTTCAGCAAGGGACGCCATTCGCAATAGAACGGTTAACAGGCACTCCATCACAACGATGTGCCGTACGTTATTCTCAGTTCCAGGGAGTGGTCGAATGGTGGTGAACGAGCAATTCCAGAACCACCCACAACCAGTAGTCAACAGGATTGGAATCTGGAGGTCATGGGAGGCATGAAGTTAAACAATGCCAGGTAAGGATTTCGTTGCCGATAATGGCCGCTTGACAAACGGAAAGATTTGCTAGAGGGAACATGTTACTCTTCACGAGCGGCCCACAAAGCGCAGCTTTCCAGTGGTTCAAACGAACGACGGGAAATGATTTCGTTTAGTGCTTCCACGACTGGATGAAAACGAGGCAGCTATGCGCTGAGAAAAAAGGCAATTAAGAGAAAAATTTAGAATAAAAAAGTTTCATCTGGACAAGTCGTACCGAAACTGCCCGGACTTGCGCGTAACACCTCAGCATGACCAGATTAAACCAATTAACTTGCATGATTTCGGATTTTTCTGCCTATTATTTTTAAATTGATTTTCGGCAATGATTTTCAAAATCTTTGATCAAGTCATCACACGCAGGCTTCCTTTCGAAAAGGGAGCATTTTCGCTTCATCTCCGCTTCACTGTGAGACACGAAGATGTTTCACATGAAGAGGGGCGCGAAGATGGAAAATATGCACTTTTGAGTACATCAGATACCTTCCGTCTAAGAAACACTATCTGGACACCTGAAACAGGTTATCTATGTGATGCATTTCCGAATGCATTAGTGGAGGTCAGTTAAATTTTTTCCAGATGCCACACGCGATGCGGATGAAAGACCGCCCTTGTCGATCGGGGAACGGCGATCTCAGAACTGACGTGTATTTCTGGAAGAAGTCCACAGGTGTAATCGCATGCCTTCGAGGAGTAAAGGCTGTTCGTGAAGTCAAAGGAGATTCGATATCATGTTGATTGGTGACGAAAGGGTCGTGTGTGTTGCAGAAACAGTGTTTGTCCTGCTGGGTGTTCATTATTGCGCACCGTCCGAGATACCACTGTTCCTCCCGTTTGGAATCTGGTAACACTCCTGCGTAACATGACGGACGTGAGGCTGCTGGGAACGCCTTTCTTACATGTTTGAAGATAATATGAGGATCCATAGTTCATGGATTGGCCCTTGAATGGGAAAACAATGTAAGCATGTTATGTTTGTGTGCTCTCCATTAGAAATAGCTCCGTTAGCTTGTGATACGCATATTCCCAGGGATGTAAAGAGCATGTAATGGCTGTAAGCCATTATTGGAAACCACCCCAACCTGTTGATCATAACGGTTTTGAGAGCGCCTGCATCGACGAAGCTGCGGCCTATCAAATGGAACTTCACCTGGGAAACGGCGCCAATGCTCAAGTCGCGAGGTCGGGTGAATTAGGAGGATGTGGGATTAATTTTAGCCTGGGATCGGTTAGAAAGTTCATAGTTCTCAGCCTCGTCGATGCAGGACCTCTCCAATCAGCGTGTTTGTGTACGGACATTTGCCTCCAATGACCAGCACTTCTGATGACGTGCGAGGCGTTCCAATATCCATCCATACTATATATTAGAAAACGCTTAGGAGATTCTTGGTAGGTGCAACCTCTGGCTTATGAAGGCCTTTTGCCTCTAAAGACATAGGCTAGGTAGTCCATAGGTTTATATGCTTTTGTTTTTCCAGATCATAGGCTTATTAAATTGTGACATATTGCAAGAATATTCCGCTGGTATTGCGGATTCTTCTAACTTGAACCACGTGAATCAAGGATTTGTCTGTCTATTAATGACTATACAGTATTCAGCGGACATAACAGGATTGACATCCTCACGATGATGACCTAGATGCACATTTGCTATGGTTTCCATAAAACTCTCCAAAAACATCGGCAGGCTCGTTTGTTTTTTGTTTATACTCTTGTGCCGATGTTCTTTTTCGTGTTGGTACAAGTAAAAAAAAACACAATCATGCTGAATATAGAACTAGTACCTAGATGAAAGTAGCAATTCTATAACGATATGTAATATATGACACTTTATTATTGTTTATATTGTAAGTTCTCATTGTCATTTCTTAATTTCTGAAAAATGGTAAAATATTGACTTCTGCGCATTACATAGGAAGAGAATTTCAAGATGATGACAAGATTTTGTAAGAAGTAATAATGCTTCTTATTGCATCGGTAGGTATCATGCTTAACCCTTTGCAGTCCTAATATTTTTAAGTTTCGCAGGCCAAAAAGTATAATTTTTTATATAGTCCTTTTAATTCAAATAGGTTCGAATGAGGTTGTATTATTTCTATTTCAGTTGAGTAATTTCTAGCCATCTGATAAAGTAAAAATAACGCCTATAAACACTCAAAAGAATAACACTGTTCCATTGAGCAAAATTATTATCATAACGCGACAACGTTGACTCTATTTCATCCCGGGGATGAGGTTGGACCGCAAAGGGTTAAAACTATCTCGAATTATTTATTTTCATACGGTGAACCCTGTGGATTCGGCCACCTTGTTATTTTAAGGCGCATCCCATTCGCGGCCGGAAGTGCCCGGTCCCAATCGATAACTGCATTGGCTCAATGTTGAAAAAATCGGTTTTATTCCACCACCCATCTAACAAGGCCGAGGCCAAGGATTCGCAGACCCCCCCTGTGATGAAAATTCTTTAAATCCTGCGATATCGCGGGAGGGAAAAGTATCGAAAGTATATCCTCTTCGATTTTCATTTCCCTGATTTTCCGTCAGAATTCGGGGAGTTACATTCATATTCCCCATCTCCCTTCTTCCTCACCAAACTCCGAATTCGCAAGTCGCTCGAATGCCCAGGTCGCATCTCCGCCGTTTCGACAACGAAAGCACGATCATTGGAGTATTGACTTTCCCATTCCGTATTTCTTTCTCCCTTTCTCGAGGGCCAACTTATTGGCCAACAAGAAACTTATTGGCCTGTCCGTCGACCTTAATTTCCTTAATCTCATAATCCCGACTTTTTTTCACAGCGACATCAAAAATGAAAAGTCATAAAGTCACAAACGTTGCAAATCTTCACGAAAATCCTCTTTCAGTCTCTTCGCAAAAATTAAATGTACAAAAGTGGATCTTGTAACGGAAAATCATTCACATCACGTCTCATGCCAGAAACCGGCAGGAAAGTTATTATTGAGGCTGATCAAAATTATTTACATCATCTAATTCAAAGATGCGCGCGTTCAATCTGAGCCTTGAGGAATTGGGACTTGAGCCAAACGGCAAGAAATTCCAAGCATTCGTAGACACCAATGAGCGAGACTCCCAGGTAGAGCCCGACCATCCCTCCGATGCTGGAGAGAAACTGTTCCAGCGATGTCAGCTCGTGCTCGTTCACGATCTCGACCTGAAACGCGTTACGGGATGAGATTCTTCGTTCGAATGAGTGGACTTGGGAAAAGTGACTATCCTTGCTATGACGGTCATTCGAGCGATTGTTCCTAGTTGCCATTTGCCTCGACTGAACATGGGAATATTACGAAGTTTCAACGGCGAGCAACTCACTTCGGCTTTGGGGGTGTTCAACTTGATCATGCCGTAATGCGGATCGTAAGGAAAATCTGGATCGTCGAGTTGGATCGCGTTATAAGTTGTCCTCTTGCATTTCCTCGGGCATCCAGGATCGAAATGTTTCTGCACTCCATGGTAGTAGTTGATCAAATCCCTTTCGTCTTGAGAGGTGTTGCACTGGCGCAAGGTTGCCGCCTGGTCGTGTTTCATCGGCAACACCGACGACTTGACGCATGGGGCTTTCTTCATTAACCTTTCCGTTATTGCCGTTTCCACGCACTGTTGGTCATCGATTGATATATATTTGATAATGAGAGGAGACAGGATAGACGATAGGCTTGGGCTGGAATTACCTTCTTGTAGTCGTAGTCCTCGTCCCCATTGCACTTACTGCCCGAAGGCAGGAAATGATAATATTTCAAGGACAGACTCAGCATGTAACTCTTCCCGTCCAAGAGGAAGAAGATCTGCCCCGATAATGTGATGTTCCTCACTGCTGTGAACGGTTCCTGCGAAGAGTCTATGCGAATCTGGTAATAGGGATTGCCCGATTTATCGAATTTATTGAAATTATCCAATTCATTAACGGAGTCTTTGAAACTCAGACCGAGTTCCATGACGGGGGAAATGGAAGAAAGCGGCATCCGGAGCTCCGATTTAACGTGGAGAGTGTAGCAAAATTTGAGGGGCGAATCCGAGCCATGCCAATTCACGATCGGCGACTCTCTCCAATACCCCGCTGCGAAAAGTCGCGATATCACACGTTCTTCAGGAAACTGAAAGAGCGATGGGAATTAGTTGATCGGGCATACCATCGGTCTCGTAGACGCGGCTGCCATCGATCCAAGTCCAGCCGTGCCGAGGAGAACAAGAAGACGATTTGAACGGATGGGGATATATGGTGCAGGTAGCCACGATTTTATTAAAGTCCGTTAAGGTGAACGAATTCAGTGCTTCCAAGACACTAATGTTGAGCAGTTTCTGAAACAAGCCACTCCAAATGGATTTGTAAGCTGTAATCCAGGTCTCGTTGAGGACCTTGAGCGCCGTGAAATTCCACGCGATTCCGGGACACACCGTGACCTCAGGGAACTCGACGCTGCTCCGGGTCTCGATCCGTATATTCTGGGCCGTTGGATTGCTCCTGAAGTATTGTATCAGCCCGTTCGCCTGCGCGACGTACCAAGTATTTTGATTGGAAATACTTTTTATCGGTTGAATCTTTTTCACAAATGACGAGATCTGGGAGTTACAAACCTGAATGACGGTGAGCGAGAGTCCAGCACATAATATGAGGATCCATAACAGTCTCCGGATTCCCGACCTCCGCGCCATCCCGAAGTCGAACTTCGGAGAAACCGCCGGCCCTGAAAGATCCCATCGACAGTGGTGATCTCCGCCTCGTCGCTGGAACCGCCTCAGACGTCCAGGAGGGCGTCAGCGCCCAGGCAGCATCAGCCACACGATCCCGCGTCCCTCGTATATTCCTCATCTCCTGCGGACGTGAGTCAGGTGCCTCATGCTGCCTGGGCGAGACTATAAAAGCTCATTTGGGTTTACGGTCATGAGGTCCGGTTCGATCTTCTCGTTTCCGGGGGTTACTGCTTCCTACTGAGATAGAGACCACAGAAGGACGTGCCCGTTGAAAGAACTTGACATTTCCCTGCGCTTATGCGGTGCTAATAGCACAATGTGTTTTGTATCATGCAACCCATGGGATGTTGCTCTTTTTTCAAGGTACTGAACTGAGGGGGAAAAAAGTTTGGTTACAAGTACTCATTGCAGAAATTAAAGCGTTTTTTAGGTTTTACACGAATACCACAAGCTGCAATGATACCCAGTATGAGTTCCAAGATCAAAATGGCCGCGAAACCTATATCCGACCAATGCAATCGATAGGATTCCAACTTGTTAGCCTTCCCTCATTGAAACCGGAGGACCTCGGTGACGAAGCAACTGAGATCCGGAGGAAATACGCATAGAGCGCGATCCTGGCTGCTCGCTGGGCCGATCGAGAAATGTGGGTATTTTTGTTCAGAATTCCAAGCGTCCGTAATGAAACACGGAGGGATCCGTGAGTTCGTAGCCACTTGCGTCCGCACGGAAATCCATCGCCTCGGTTTCGTTGCGTGGTTTCCTTCGTTCAAAATGCAGGATTACACATTTGCAGAACGACTCGCTCTTTCTTCCTTTGCAAACGCTGAAGAAGAACGCAATGGAGGCGACGAGCGCGACGGTTCTTCGTGCATCCTTCTCGTAGGACGTCCTACATCCTAATTGAAAGAAGGAACTTCGGACCGGAGCTTGCAGTAAAAGGATTGAATGCGCGATGCATGGGATGCTCCAGGAGGCACAGTTTGGCCCCATCTGCCACGGGGGATGGCGAAGCTATGCTTCAATGGGTTCTGAGTTGCGTTCGGGCTCTTTTCGTTCCTTTCTCTGGTTTCGATTCCACTCGAGCGAATCGCCGGACTCGTCGTTTCGTAACGTGATTGCAGCGAGTCGAAAGCCATAGCTTTTTCTTCTGCACTTTCGCGAAAAAAATCCTTAGAAAGACGTTGCCTGAGTCTCGTCCATGCGGCGTGGCCTCCGAGAGAAGCGGACGCGCCGCGCGGCCGACGTACCTCGTCCCGAAGGCGCGACGAGTCGCTGCTCCGGGCTCGCGGCGGTTCCGGTCCCTCCGGCGATCGCTCCCTCCGCGCTGGGCGAGGAAAAAATACGGAATTAAAGGAGAGGAGTCTTCCCTAGACGGAGTAAGAAGAAAAGGAGTTATTTCCGTACTTTTCCCGAGATAGAATGTATCGTTCCAAGAACTCCACTCTCTTCCACAATTCCACGTCGCCTTTGAGACGGCCTTCTTTCTCGGTGGAACGATCGATGTTTTCAGTTTCTTCATCAGTGATGGCCTCCGCTGTCTGCATCGCGTCGCCTTTCAATCCGGTATGAATTCTCCTTGAAGAACTCCCTAAAGAAAAATGTGCCCGTTTAGAGAGCGATTTGTGGCTGACGATAAAGTACCAAACAATCAGGAGACATCACACGGGAAGTGATAACGTATTCAACTAACAATATTTTTGGGACGCTATTCTTCCCGTCGAACCTAGCGAGGCACCTTAGAGTATTTCATTTTGCAATCCTGACCGCAGTCGGAACTACAATTCTGTTCAGGTCATGGAAGAGTCGAATACACCGGCAGAACAATACATTGGGCCCATGTTGGCTGCGAGTGAGAAAAAGTGGGCCAACATCGCAGTGGGCTGCCCGTGTTGGCCCCACATCGGCGCTAGGGCAGAAGCCAACATTTGTCATGACTCAGGATCCGACAGTGATTTGTATCAGTGATTTGAACAAAAAGCTTCCCACAGCATACACTCTTAGAAAATTCCGAGCATTTAGGGAGTAAAAAGTGAGCACACCGTGAGCTTTTCGAATTTACTCTCTTTTTACTCACCAAATGCTACCTCATCGCTCGTATTGAAGTGAACACCTTCAAGTTCTTCGCCAAGCCACTAGATGGAGGTAAGGGTCTCGCTTTTCGCGCAGTACACAAAAGTTCACTTCCCTCTTTCCATGGAATCGTCCCTCGCAGGATTGTTTAGTACCTTGCCGTATATCTCGCCTAGTCTCGTTATAGGAATCAATAAACACGGACACTTCATCATTTGTNTCTCGTTATAGGAATCAATAAACACGGACACTTCATCATTTGTTATCCACATATTCAAGACATATTCATAGAGTCCAGGCCATAAACAAACTCATATTCCTATTGAGAACCCTTTCGGAACGTGCATGATCTCATCAGCATAGGAAATCTAGAACATGCAGAGTGTCCGTGAACTTCGTTAAATCATACCTCAATTAGATGAGGTAATAAGGGCTGATATCCCGGATCACTTCACGGAACCTATGAGAAGTGGTCCACCCTCTGGCCTGTGCTGTAATCAGTACAGTAAGAGGTAGGTCGACGCCTGTACGACAGCGAAAGCGACACAGTATAAATGAGAGTTTTTTATATTTGCATGACATCCCTATCACTTTCTGATGGGAACGTTTTTACTCACGGAGGAGGAGAGCAATTTTACTCCTTGGTGATAGAGTAAATTCGCTCATTTCCCCGAGTGAAAGGGGGGTGAAACTGGAGTTAGCTATTTTACCATCTTTTTTGAGAAAAATCGCTCCCCTTTTTCTAAGAGTGTATGCGGCCGCTATTTCAGTGGGATCAGGGAGCGATTCATTATTTAAGACCCCAGTACCTTTATTGCGGTACTTGATCCATTTCCATAGAAAACGTAAAAGGGGACACACAAAAGTCTCTGTTCATTTGCTTAAACAGGCTAATCGGTGCAAACAGACTCTTGCTAATTGTGGAGGAGGCATGCTTCAAATTGGGGCTTCACTCGACATCCGGAAGATAAAAGGATCCCAGAGGCTGCGTCTGGATCCTCTCGGGGAGGCTCGGGTGTCATTAAAGGCATGCGTTCATCCGAGTCTTGCCTTACGAGCACCTCCATGGTGGATGACGGGTCTAATGGGGTTCAAATCCTGTTATGGAAATTGAAGGCCTCGAAACACGACGGTCGAAGGAAGTACTCTAGTACTTCTAGCACCCTGGTGTACTTCTAGCCCGACCGAGAGAGACTCGGTGGCACTGACCCCGGTCGGGGAGCTCAACGATTACGTACGGAAATTCAATCTCGTTCGAAACGTCTTCATTTCCACGGAACGTCATGGCGCACGACGGCCCAACGTTGGCCGCGGGATGAGCCTACGAAGGACCAACGTTCGGCCCACATCGCAAATGTTGAATTCCAACATGGGGCCGACGTTGGCTCGATGTATGTGTGCTGCCGGGGACGGTGCTCGTCCTGGGCGGACTGCCGTGGCCAAATATGCTTTCGCACGTGGAAGAGAGGATCGAGTTCGTATTTCGGATTCCATCTCGGGAAGAGAACATCCCTCGACGGGAAAAATGGGCGCATTTTTCAACGCTCGGAATCCGCCCGGACTCACCTTTCCGTCGTATCGGGGAGTAGATGACGCACGTCGGACGCGACCGGGAAAATCCCCATTGGGCCTGCAAACCGCCACTGCGGGCTCGGTCTGTCCGCCAGACGAAGTCCTTCGTGCTTGGAGTCTGCGTTCTTCCCCCGCCTGATGCGGATTTCTCCCGACAGCCGGCCGCGTTCCTTTCTAATTGATACACCCCAATGAAGCGATTTCCCGTCGGTAGAGGGGCATTCATGAGATCTCCGTTTTTCATATCGTTCAAGATATATCGTGAGAGCGCCAGCTTCTTTTTTGAGGGGTGAGGAGACCCGACTCCCATCGATCCGGGCCAGGCCCCCCCCCCTTCCCCCCTTCCCCCCCTTCCCCTTCGGGCTAGAAGTACACCAGGGTGCTAGAAGTACTAGAGTACTTCCTTCGACCGTCGTGCTTCGAGGCCAATTATGAAGAAACTAACGCGATGGCAGATATCATTCACAGCAACTAATTGCCGCGTTTTCTGTCGCGTTAAACTTTGAAGTGGCGCGCCGGATCGAGCCGCCCAGAAATTTGGGAACGTCTCCCCTTGCCAGCCCCTCGGGTGCTGGTTGATACATTGGGGACACACCGTGGCAGCTGGATATGATACATTTTCTCGCCAAATTTTCAAGACCCGTGCAATATATAAATATATTAAATATGCATCTCAACGGATACATGCGTACCGAGTTTTAGTTTTCAATTTGAATTGTTCCAAAAACTCCATCTTCTTCCAAAATTCGACATCGTCCTTTGAAAGAGTCTTCCGTCAATTCTTCCCATATTTTCGTTATCCAAGGCCTCCGGTACTTTGCATCGTGTGCATCGTGTGCCCTTTAAATCCAGCATGAATTCTCCTTGAAGATCTTCACGAGGAAAAGTGTGCCCGTTTAGTGAGCGATCTTTGGCCGAGAACATTTTTCTCGTGAGCATTTTACTCGTAAAATCATTCCTCTCGAACAAGTCCATGTCAAGTCAAGATGGTACCATACCAGAATTAACACCGGTACAACCCTAATTTAAAGCGACGTCCATGTAAAAAATCCACTTTGAGTTCACCATTAGTAAGGAGGTAAAATTCCCTCGGGCAATTAAACAAATTCCGAAACCTAAGCCTTCATACTAAAGAGAAAGACAGGAATTAGAGAGGGGGATAAACCAATGCGCGTTCGGAAGCGAAGGGAGCAAAAAAAAAACAGTCCGCATTCGCAGCGTGCACCTAATGAGATCGAGGCGAAGACTGAGACAGAAGAGAATGAGATATTCTCGGCCATCCCTCCCTCTCCCTTCCCACTTTTCTCCAATCCCAACTTTTTGAGTTCCTTCCCGTCCCTCACTTAGGCAGTCCCGCCATTTCCATAATTTGAAGAGAAATAGGAAGCCCATGCGGGTCACGTCCGACACCACCACCCCGGTAACACGCATTTGTCGCGAGGACGTTGTGGTGATGCTGTACCACAACATATAGAACGTTGGAAACATATGGAACGTAGGAATGAGGCATTTGCATTCAAATTGAATCTTCACATAACACGATGGTT